TTCGAGTTATCGAGGTTCGACTGTGTATAAGTTTAAAAGTTTAAACATGCCAAAGAATATCGTATAAAAATTACAATTCTTAAACTTACATTAATTGGTAAACATTTATTTATTTGTTAAATAATATTATTATCTTCATTTTTAAATATTAAAATATAGTTTAGGCTCTCTTCTTCACACAAACGACATACTTCGATTTTCTCTTGTTTGTACTTTTATCGATACATTCTTTTATCTTTGTAATCGTTTTATGCAGTGAGATTTACATATACTGGAGTGAGCCTTCCCTGAGAAAATGCGTGGTGAGGATAGCCGCTGTGCGAGAGTGACAGCCATATGCAGCTTGGGGACGTCTGCCTCACTTTAATAATGTCATTGAAGTGAGACAGACGTCTCCAAGCTGCATGATTGTCATTCTCGCGTCACTGTTGCACAGTTCGGCCATCATCCCCACTACCCCAAGGCTTACTCCAGTATGTTATATATCTCACTGGTTTTATGTTTCTACGAAGATTTTATATCTAAACGAAATCGGCAGATACTGTTTCACAAAACAAACATGTTTTAGAAAATAAATTAAAATGTATTCAATATCTGCTTTATTATTGTTAGCTAAATGTTTAATGCAAATTACATGTTTTTTTCATAAATAGATATCTAATAAAGAATATGCTAACCATTATATGGACGTCAATATCTCAAGCTATTTTCATTCAATCTTAGCAATGACTTTCCTATAATGTCACATTGAAAAAAGAAAGGATTTTAATTTTTTATGTTAAATATATATATCAAGAGGCACGGTAGTGTCTCACGTCAAGTATGCGCGCCCGTATACGAGTCGTGAGACCGATCTGTGTCTCTTCAGGTGATATGTATCATTTGTAGAAAACATACATCTTGCAACATTTTTTTCAAACAAAAGGAAAGGCGTTCAATATTGCGCTACTCAAACAAGAAACCGTTACACTAAAAAATTTAAAAAATTTTTAAAAATTTAAGTGATATGTGGAATCATTCGCACGCACACAATTCGCACACCACACAAAAAAAGGAATCATAAAATACTGTGGAGCTATAACGAACGGGATCCTTATTTTTGTGTATTCAAACACACACACACACACACACACACACGCAATGAGATTGAATTTTAGTCAACGTGTCATTTTTAAAATACTTCTTTATCGAGCTCAATACGAGATCATTTTTCGATGAAAGATGCCAAATTTAAT